ACCCACTATCAGTGCCCCAGAGGGAATGTGATAGTCTGCGAGACTGTCTTGAACAAGCTAGAGAGTGGTTAAAGAGGGAACGATTCGTATCCTGAATTTGTCCGATAAAAACGTGCCTTCTTCGTCAGCCAAGGATGCAAATGGAACTTGGTACACAATTATGATCACGGTAAACTGACTGCAGGACCGATGAGCATATGTTGTAACACAAGTGAAGGCTTGTTTTGAATTCTTTACCATCATAGTCACGCAGCTAGGATCGCGCTGTTGTCGTAGTGAAGTGACATCAGTTCGGTGTCATCTGAAGATCGATCTTCGCAATTCTGTTCAGGCAAAATGGCGAGGCTGCAGAAGCTCTCTTTAAAAAAACTCTTCTAAATCAGGGACTAATCCGGTTACATTATTTGCGTCCAGGCTCACTTTCTTTTCTGAAAAGTGAATATCCGCCGTTTTTTTGAGAATCGAAAACCGTACGTCATCTTTACCAACCGAGATCTACAGGCATGCGCAGTCTGCCTTTCTAGTGATAATCTCTTGAATGCCATACCAAGATTGTGGATTGCCCGTGAACTGCTCTTGAACAGAGTACCGAGCGGCCATCAAGTCGGCTAGGCCTCTTGCCCGTCTCAGCTCTTCGACACAAAGCGCGTCTTGAGATTTTCTGGTGGAAGAAAGCAACGTACTAAACAATATGTAGGGATAGGTGCCGTACTTCTCTAAAAGGGATATTTGAGACTGATCGTTGCCTTTAAGAAAACCTCGCAAAGTGTCAAATTTTTCGACCCTCTGAAAAAGATACGGATAGGTTTCTTCAAGATGAGACTGTGATACCTTTATCAACGATGGACTGCAAAGGCATTGAAACTCTTTCAAGTTGTTTCCAATATCCCTGCTAAATTGTAGAGCCTTCTTTAGGTATTATCCCGCCATGTCATATTTACCAATGACTCGAAACACAATCCTAAATGTTGGTAATTGGTGACCACTCCTCCTCTCGCACCGATTTCTGTGTTAATTTTAAGGGAATTCTTGTGATATTCTTGAGCCTTGTCATATGAACCTCACCGATGAGAAATTATCCCGAAGTATCCGTAATGCACTGCTTCTCCCTTTCTGTCGCCAATCTTAATCCTCTCTAATTGCCATTGACTTCTTTAGCCTTTGCATACTTCCCAAGCGAGGGAAACAAAGCTGCCAGGTTTCAATAACTAATTGATTCTCCTCTTCTGTCACCATGCTTTCCCTAAATACTATATAGCCTCGCTGTAATGACCAAGGCATTTTAACAATGCACCAAGGTTTCCGTAGCTCGTTGCTTCTCCATTTCTATCGCCAATTTCTATTTTGATAGGTAGCGCTTTTTCCTGATACTCTCGGGCCTTGTCATACTGACCAAGGAACAATGTTCCTGGGTTTCCATAATCGGTTGCTTCTACTTTTCTGTCGCCAATTTCCAATTCGATAGCGAGTGCTTTATCCTGATATTCACGGGCCTTGTCTTATCGACCAAGCGATTGGAACAATGTTCTTTGGTTTCCGTAGCTTGTTGCTTCTCCATCCCTGTCGCCAATTTCTATTTTGATAGCGAGTGCTTTTTCCTGATATTCACGGGCCTTGTCTTATCGACCAAGCGATTGGAACAATGTTCTTTGGTTTCCGTAGCTTGTTGCTTCTCCATCCCAGTCGCCAATTTCTATTTCGATGGCGAGTGCTTTCTCGTGATATTCTCGGGCCTTGTCCTACTGACTAAGTATTTGAAACACAATGCTCCTAAAATTCCGTAGCTTGTTCTTTCCTTAGTGTCACCACTGATTTCCAATTTCATAGCGTGCGCTTTCTCGTAATATTCTCTGGCCTCGTCCTACTGACTAAGTGATTTAACCGATATTCCCAGGTTTCTGTAGATTGTTGCTTGTTCATTTCTGTCGCCAATTTCCAATTTTATAGCGTGTGCTTTCTCGTGATATTCTCGGACCTTGTCATATAGAGCAAGCGAATGAAACAATGTGCCTAGGTTTTCATAGATTGTTGCTTGTGCATTTCTGTCACCAAGTTCTATTTTGATAACGAGTGCTTTCCCATGATATTTTTGGCTTTGTCATGTTTTAAACGAAACCAAAAGATTATAATCTCTTGTAGACATAGAACACACGCCAGAAAAGAAACTATAAACCATTAGATCCTCGTTATTAACTGAGTCCAAAACAATTATGTCAAAAATATAATTAATGTAATTGATTGAACCTTGGCAACGAAAATAACATTAAAAAAAGTAAGCGCTCATTAGCAGATGGCTTTATTATCCTTAGAGGGGGGGAGGGGGGCAATTTACTGACGCCAGTAAAATAAGAATTTATTTTCTGCCCGCAATCCTTGGTTCTTATTCATATGATAAATTATAAATGTATCGATTGAAGATTCCCTTGCGCGTTTTTCGTGGAACGGTACATTTACGAGACACTTACATGCAGCGCTTTACTCTTACACGCGTAAGATTTCTGGAGTAAGTGCAATCATCAATCATCAATGATAACGTTTTACTTAGGGAAAGAAAGCGTGTTAATCTTTCTTTCAGAGGAAAATTCTTTCTGAATTGCACTTCATTATCCATTTCCTAGACAGGTGTTTCTGTTAAGTGATAGACAATGGAAGTAATTCGCCCTCAACTAAAGGAACTCGTTGAGAAAACGGAAAAGCGAAAAAAAAAAAAAAGAAAAAAGTGATATATTGCATGAACAGTGCCTAGTAAAACGTTACAGAAACTTCATAATAAATGTCAGCTACAGCGTCCAATAAACTGTCTGTTTGCATTTAATTTCTTTAACGTTTGCACATTACTGCAAAATAAATTTTATCCCTTTTTCCGTTAGTCCTTTTCTGGTAAGTTCGAAAGGAGATTTGAACTGCGGAAACAAAACCTTTGACAATGAATTTTTCGAAGAAAGCGCGTGCGAGATGTTGTGTTTTGTTTTGACAAAACTGTTTTCCTATTGGTTAATTTGTGGGTGACGTAAATGCCATTATGACCAAAACAGAAACAACTCGCGCGTGACAGGAAATTTATGGGAGACAAAGTCGATTTGCGGTGCCAACCGTGGCCTTTTCCTTCGCCAATGTTTTTATTATGTAGGTGATTTCGATGGCAGGATCCACGTTAGAAGAAGGAGCTCAGAAACACCAGAAGGTTTACAGCTTTTTGAAGCGCGTGCTGCCTCAAGACCGTTACGAAGGCATTCGAGTGATCGAACCATGCGTTGTTGTTGCAGATGGTTTTAAAAAGACTTTTCAATTCGCTGTTCTCGGCGACGAAATGCTTTACATCACTGAAAATCCTCCGAGGACCTCGAAAGATATCAGGCTAGGTGTGGATTTAGCTTGCGTTACATCTGTAAGGCTGGTGAGTGCTATTGAAACTATCTCTGTTTGACTAATTGTCATTATAGTTAAGGACCGGTTTTGTTTGGTAACCGGAATATTTCTTTCGCTAATATTTGTAAAGCTCACTTGCTACACTCGGATGTCATGAATATCGTCTCTTTCGGAGATCTCCTTTATATCTCGTCCGATATCCCTAAAACAACCACAGACATAGTATTAAGTCATCAAAAGAGCGATTCGTAAAAATCACAATGGTGTTGAAATTCAAGCGATCGCCAGAAGTTTGATTTCGCTGTGTTAGGTGTAATGTTATAAAGTACCTTTTGACAAATAAACGTAAGTAACAGTTACTGTTCTTTTATCGGCCATGGTTAAGGCATTCAAGTTTGCGACTTTGTGTTGAAATATCAGCTATTTAAAAAGATGGATGCTCCATAATTATTGTAATCTCATTATTAATCTAATGTGCAAATTTCGCTGATTGTTTATGTACTTGTCTGATAATCTCATGGGAAATATAGTCAATATTGTTGAATAGTTTAGCATGACGTCTTTCGCGAAATTTCCAAAATGAAAATCCATTTTCTATCTGTCGGTAATGATAACAATTTATCGTTTCAATTCATATAAAATTTCTTGTCAGTGTTATCGTTTCAAAACAAACAGTTTTAAGGTTGTACTTTGATGAGTGGTACTTGAAGATTAGGAGAGATTTGGTGATGTATTGGTAAGGGGACTGGGCTCTAAGTGTAGGGTCTACTCAAGCCTGCCAGAATTATTGTGCTGGGTCTGGGTCTTACTGAGGTTCAGGGGGAACTTGACAAAATGTTGTAGGGGTAGGGTGGGTGTGAGTAACCTACAGTAGACTAGCATCCCACATGGGGAAGAAGTATTAGTCCTAGTGGCTCCATTCAATGTTTGACAAAGAAAACTTTGGCACTATGGGCTCCTAGAGTTGTGAGCAGACTTCTACCACCTGTTATGCTTTTTTAATCAGAAAATTGATATCTATAAAGTGAAATAACAGTCCATAAAATTTTCTGGTATGATCAGCTCTTGAAGAATCCAACAAAAGTGCTTAATACAGATTTTCTTTTGGTATTTCCTATATCTGAGTAACCTGAGATACACTTTTTATTTCTTATGCAAAAATTATCCACCGTTGGAATTTCTATTTATCTCTCTCAAGATGATTGCAAATCCCAAGAGAAAACAAAAAACAATGCTTTTGAATAATTGTGAGTGATGATGGACTATTCTAAATAAGTGATAAAAGAATCCTTGAAATTGTTGGTCAGAAAACAGGCTTTAAAAAAAAAAAAATAAACTGATTATTCTTTAATACATAATCATTTTTCTTCCAGATTCATGATGTTGCAGAATTTCTTGGAGGAGATCTGAAGACCAAAAACCAACACATTCTGATAGTTTACAAAAAGATTTTTAAGCAAATGGGATCAAGCCAATCAATAGCCATTTCACCTTGTGAAAACAATTCAGCATTAAAGTTAGCTCTACAATCATCTTCCATTCTCAGTACTTCTCCAGTTTTAAGAGTGGGTTCGACACCCCAAGTGGTAGGTAACCTTAAATCTGAGACCTCTATGGGACGTGTAGAAAGCCAGCCAGTCACAACGCAGCATCTGTCAGTACAGACAAACAGACTTCATTTAAGTGCCTCAGACCCTGATCTCCGACTTCTGAGGCATGAACGCAGCAGCAAATTGTATTCAGGGTCAGCTAGTAATATTGGAGCTGTTTCTGCATCTCCTCGGAGCAGGCGACCCCTTCCGCCACCTCCTCCTGGTCATGAAACAATGATCGTGCAGTCTAGCTCAAGCGCAAGACTGAGATCAGGAAGTGTTGGTCAGCAACGAAGAAAGAAACTGTCAGCTTCACAGCAGAAAAGAACTAACAATGACTATGATGAATTAAATTGTAGCTCTAGCAGTAGTGAACTTGAAATTTCTTACCAGGATTCATCAACTAGTTTTAACAGACAAAAGTCAGTGGATTCTAGTGGTCCATATGGGAGGGGTCGTTATGGAAGTGACAGTAATGGCTCTGTAGACAGTGGGGAAGAGTTGGACTATAATTCTGATGATGGAGGCAATGATTCTGCTGACAAGAAACTTGAATTGATGGAAATGGACTTATACATCCTCTCAGAAAAATCACCAATGTATATGCATCTTAAAAGCACCTGGAACAATTGCATTTTGGTAAGTTCTTTCTTTTTTCCATTTTAGTAAGCTGTGTGTGTGTGTGCATCGTGTGTGTTAACAACTACATGCTGACATTTACTGTGCAAAACTCTGGAAACAAAAAAATGGGAAAACACAGGTGATCGGCAATTTTATTGTTTCCCAACCATAATTTCCAGATTTTGTGGACATTTCGGGAGATTCACATATATCTGTGATTTGAGGGTACTGATTTTCTAAGCAACTGGAAGACTGGTAGTGGGCCAAAGTTATTGTTGAATTCTTTAACAGTAAAAATTGAAGTTTCCAAATATAGCAAGTGATTGCTGATCATCACAGAAATATGGGATGTGTTGGAGCATCCAGTTTCTACAACCTCTATAATTATTTGTCTGAAAACTTTGGGACAGTTAGGGAACAGTGAAACTGCTAATCATCTGGGGTTTTCCCTACATGTACATCCAGAAAACAGGCTTATCAGCACAGAAAATGCCATTGTGAGCAACCAGTTCAGATTGTTAGATTTTCCCTATTTTTGGGTCCCTTGTTCTATGTAGAAGCTAGTGTCACGAGACCTGTTTTCCATATATGGTATAATTGTACATGAGGTTTTCAGCGGTGATTAAAAACAGTTCTTACCGCCATCTTGATCTGGATTACTGTGTTCATGGCCTTGTATTTGGAATACACCTGCACACAGATCATGGCAGTTTGGGCTTCTTCATTAGTTAATTTCGGCAGGGGATGTTAAAGAACCCACATCACGAGATTACTGTGATGTGGTCTGGCCTGTTTACTGGGAAGGGGGGAGGAGGCATCTGTAAAAATTTCTCCGTTATTAATAGTAAACTGCCGCCGGCAGTCTAGCAAAGTCCCTTGCACAGTGTTGTAAAGCACATTAGAGCATTTACATGGAAATGTGCTATACAAATTGATCTATATTCGCATGAAAGAGCTACACGCTGTACATTGTGTAGTCATAATAAACTAACCCTCGTGTCTCAAGGGATTACAATAATTTTCAAATTTAGAGCTATAAAGATATAAGGGGCCACCAGGTTATTGTGGAGCCATGTTGTTTTGTCAGATTATGTGCAAGACTGGGAACTAATCAGATTATATTTCCTATGACTTTGTGTACAGTGTTGGCATTAGAAAAATTAAAGTGCATGAACCTTTCTGCACATTTTGAAAATGAACTTGATTCACACATGTAAAGCAGCTTCTGTAACAGTTTGTTTTCCATTCTTCTTAAAACTGGGAAACAAATTTATGCTGAACAAATTTCAGGGATCAACACTTAAACTTTTCAATTTATCAGCCAAGTGACAACTTAGATGTTACAACTGTTTCAGTTTGTTTACAAGCCAAACTGGTGAATGCAAATAAAAAACCACGAGCCAAAACTGAATTTTTGCTAGTCTGTGGTTTAATAAGTTTAAGCTACCATTAATGTTGAGCCCTGAATTTTCTTCGAGAGTCTCAGTCATTGAAGAATTTTCAACTAGGGATTTTGATAAAATGAGGTAATTAAAAACTAGCCATGTAAAG